GTAATTAGACAAGACCTCGAGGAATATACTTTGTAATTAATTGTATGATAATGAAAGCATGCTAATTAAAGATTCAGTGAGCCGTATTATTATCTACTGGGGATATCTATATATTTTCAGTTCTATTGTGATACTTGAACAGGATGACTGAAACTTCCCCGTGGAATTGTTCGTTTGAATGACTCGTGAGCACTTTCTCGTATGTTGTTTATTGGCTTTTGATGGAACGGTGGGATTTAGACGCACCGTGCTGATTGTATGTAACTGTTTGTAAGTATCACATTTGTTATCCTCTGTCAATCATGTCCTTACGCAATATAACAAAAAAAAGTGTATGAACTCAAGAAAGAAGAAATAAAATGTTTGTAATTCTTTTTTTGGGGAGGATTTTTGTTCTTTTGTTTTTATTTTATTTGCAGCCATTATAACTTTGCGAATAAGTCCCAGAGAAAACCTAAACTTGGGTAACCTACTGCCTACATCAGTTGTTCTAAACCGTTGGATCTACACACGTGTGTGTACGTGTGATCTGACGGCTCAGACAATTCTCCCAAAATTTGGACACTAACTATTGTGAATGATTGCTTGTGTACGTGTGATCTGACGGCTCAGACAATTCTCCCAAAATTTGGACACTAACTATTGTGAATGATTTGTGATCTGACGGCTCAGACAATTCTCCCAAAATTTGGACACTAACTATTGTGAATGATTGCTTGGTGGCGTATAAATACATGCTTTTATTTATTTTTTATTTTTTTATTTTTTTATTTTTTTATCGACTGGGTGGTATCCCCACATTCCTCCGAGGGTCTCACCACGAACTCCTAGCCCCCCTCGGGGTACGGGCCTAACAGGCTACGGGATCCACGCCCCAAAAAGGCGGGACTAATCCACCCAGGAGGAGCAGGGTGCCCCATCCCCACTCCTAGTAGGGATCGATCCCCCAACCTCTGCCTTCAATATGACTTTATCACTCCAGCAGGTGCCAGTGGACCTCGCGCCCCTGGGGCAAATACATGCTTTTATTAAAAGATCACTTTCTGCAGAAGAATAATTGTGCCTCTCTCTACCCAGACAAGAGCATGTGTATTTATTTGGGTTTCAATTATCTTTTTAGAAAAATTCGGTAAATAATTTGCTCACATTGAGTGCAAGCCTCAAAATACATTCAAGTGGGTTGTGTTTTCCGTACAAAAACGAATTCTCTGCCACTAAGAGGTGAGCATGGGTCGGTATGGTTCGGAGATTGAGAAATTTACAGAACCGTACCAAAAAATCGGGACGGTTCAGTTTGGAGATTTTTATTTTTCGGTTCGGTATTCGGGACTATCGGAATGGTTCGGTTCGGTATGGTTCGGTTCCAATCTTCGGAGATTTCTTATGTTTTAAAAAAAAATTTGAATGACTACCCAGTAGTTTTATTTTTATATGCTTTAAAAAAATCAACATTCATCAATACTTCATCATATCGAAAATTTTATTTTGAAATCAACTTTAGAAGTAACTTTACATTTTAGTTATTTAATTTTTATATGCTTTAAAAAAATCAACATTCATCAATATTTACACATATTAAAGATTTTATTTTGAAATCAACTTTAGAAGTAACTCTAAATTTTAGTTGAGACTAAATTTGTGCAACTAATATTAAAAATTTAAAATTCAAACAAAATATAATATAGTTTGTTCTTTGAAAAATATACTTTAACCTTTCATATCATTTTAAATAACTTTTTTTATACTTGTAGATTAAGTATTACTAAGCATGGAATTTAAGTGAAGTTTAATTGTTAAGTCATTTATTTGGTAGGAAAATCTATTCAAATCTCTCGGTTTTAAGAAGTGTGTATAGTTCCAAAACGGGTCTCAGAGAATTCGGATTTGACCGATTTGACTTATTAATTTCGGCAAATTTATTCTTTAATTTCAGAAAATCGGTTCGGAATTCTCCGAGTCCCGTGCTCAGCCGATTTGACTTATTAATTGGTAGGAAAACCTACTCAAATCACTCGGTTTTAACCGATTTGACTTAATAATTTGTGCAACATTTATCGGTTTTATTTTGTTGTTATTTAAAGAATTTAATTATTTTAGTAATTTATTTGGTAGGAAAATTTATACTAAGTAGAGATTTCTAGGAGTCTTAAGTTTATGGTAAGTATGTTTCTTTAGAGTCCTATTTAAAATTCTTATTCTATTGTTTGGAGACTGAGTTGATTTTGGTTGAATTACGAAAACATAAGTGTTACCTGTCAATTATCTCATTCGTTTACGTTTTCGCTACGTCAGTTGGTATCAGCAGACCAATACGATTCCTAAGCCATGTCGCCAAACGGAACGATGTTGCAAACGACAAGCGCGACGCTAAGACCGCAGCATTGAGTCGCCAGGTTGCAGTACTAACCGCGACGATAGAGGAATTCAGCTGACTCAGGTCGTCCCTGACCATGGCGATAACACGAACCGCGCGATGGACATAGTACGTGGTGGTCGTGGGTGGCACGCGGGGGACGCGGTCTGGGTACACGCAGGGTGCTCCGATCCCGATCGCCTCCGTCGTTTTTCAAGGACGATGATCAGGATGCAACCATCTCATGCGTCGATCCGTTCGGGGCGTTCGGCGCACGGGACGATGCGCAATTTGCTGACGACCGACGATGGGAGGCAGGTTTCCGAGTCGACATCCCCGAATTTTCAGAAGCCCTTGAGGATAAGCATGGGTCGACCAAATGTGAGGGTCTGCTTCTTTTTTATGACGAGGAGTCGACCGAATATGAGGGTTCACCTTGGTTTGAGGACGAGGTTATCGACACTATGAAGTACGCTGCTAAAATAGATAAGTTTTTTTGCCCATTGGGGAAAGTGAAGGGGATGGTAGTTGAAAACTTGGTGAAGATGTTGAGGGCGATATACGCACAATTGGTATAGTGCAAGTTTTAGGCAAAATTTATGGAGGCATAATTGGGGATGAAGATTACGTGTGGTTTTGAGATGATGTATCAATTGAGAAAGAAGAAGGGGGACTGGAGAAAGGAGTCAGATGAAGAAGTTGACCCCCTGCGTGTCTTGGAAGAGGCTGCTAATGCTTCGTACAAGTGGCATGACGATGCTCGTCGTCGCCATATCGAGTTTGAGGTAGGCGATTATGTATGAGTGGTATTGACTTGCAAGTGAGTGTACCAAGTTATCGCCCGTAAAATTGCACGTGAGTGTACCTAATGCATGTTGCCATTCGCACTTCGGACGCGTTTAACGTGAAACACTTGATGCTTTTTCATGGTGATTGTGGGGACGAGTGCATCAGATTCGAGGGCGAATGAACGATGGAGACAAGATTGTGTTGGCTTTCCTGGACAACCGTGATTGTTTGACATCTTAATTTAATTATTTACTCCTTTTTATTTTATTGTTATTTAAGTAATTTAATTATTCTGATCTTTTATTTGGTATGAAAGTTTATGGTAAATAGGAATTTTTTAAGAGTCCTAAGTTTATGGTAATTATGTTTCTTAGTAGTCCTATTTAAGGCTCTTATTCTATTGTTTGCAGACTTGTTGATTTTGATTGAATTAATAGAATACAACAGTTCTCTCTCAATTCTTCTGTTTGTTTACGCTTTCGTTACTTCATATTGTGTGAAACCTCCTAATCATAAAGCGGGCCATCATATTTTCTGAACAATAATACATATATATTATTAAATATTATATTTTTTTATATTCTTTTTAAATATGACATTTTTATTTATAAATGATATAGATTTTCAATCTGGAGCAGTCCGGCGGGTCGACTCGGAGCCGAAACTAGTCCTGGTGGGTTATTGAGGCCGAGAAACAACGAACCCGATCAAACCCAATTAAAATCCGAGCAACCAGGTCTCCCAGTCGCAGGTCATTTACCCAGTCGGGTCAACCCCGTTGATTCGACCCCAAGATTTTTTTTTTAAAATATATTTTTTTTATTTTAAAAATAAAAAAACTATGCGCATAGATTTATATGGTAAATATTTATTATGATATACAATTTTATTAACACTTTGATATGCAAAATTTATATACAAAATATTTAATTTTATTATTTTTATGTATATTTATACAATAAAAATATTACATATATAAATTTAAAAATATTAAAATTAATTATCCGATTCAATAATTAACTCGCTGACCCGACTGAACCAGTGACTCGAAGACCTGCTCGAGTTGATTCCGTGGCTGAGTTTAAAAACTCTGATAAATAGAGTACTGGGCCTTTGACAAGGCCACGAGTCACCCAGCTCACCGACTCGACACGAACCAGGCCAGGCCCAACCCACTGACCACGGGTTGGGGCTCGTGCCAGGATTTTCGTCGGGCCGGGTCAGGGTCAAGCCAAGGTAATATATATGTAACATAGGCCCAGCCCGGCCCGGAGTTTGGCCATGTTGCTCAACCTAGGGCCCTAAACCCTACCATTTGCCAAATGTATGTGTCAAGTCCTCGTCAAGAAACCCATCTGCAAACCAGACGGCCGAGCTAATCTCTTGTCGCCTTCCCTGTGATATGTCATTCCCCGTTTCCACCTCACCACCTCCATTGTTAAAGCCCCTGCTTTTCTCTCTCCTATTTATCTTCCACGCCTCTATCATCTAACACCATACTTCACACTCTTTCAACTTCACCCTATTTCATCCCCCAAGGTCCGTTTCATGTCTCTCTTATCTTAAAACCCTTGATTATTTCACATGGGCTCATAGCATTTTTGCATTTTTGTTGATATTATATAACCCTCATCACTTCTACTGTTCTACATCTATTTCGCGTGAGCCCATCAGGAAAAAAAAATGGATTTCAAGAATGTAGAGGACGAAGAAAAATGTGTTCTTGGGACAGCCCAGCAGAAATTTGAAGTGGCCTTGGAATTGAGAGAGAAGGATGAGGGCTGTTTGGATAATAGTGGCACCAGCGTGTTTTTGAGAGCTGATAAGATTGATTTCAAAACTTGGGACGTGCAGATGGAGAAGCATTTGGGTCGGGCTTGGTCGAAGGATAACGAGGCCCGTAGCAAACCCGAGGAATGGGAGATTGAATTGGCTAAGCTTGAAATCAAGAATGTTATAGCTTATGGGACATATGGGACTGTTTACAGAGGTGTTTATGATGGCCTAGATGTTGCTGGTAAGAAAGATAGGAATAGTTGTAGTTTTTTTCCTTTTCTTGTTTTGCTTTTATCGAAATTTTAGTTTGTATTCTGTTAATTAAAAACTGAGCCTTTACTGCAGCAAAATCTCGTCTTGTGTGGTTTGTTTGTTTCAGCTTAGTAGTGTGATTCAACGGTTGATTGTAGCATAATTGAACCTCTAAAGCTCTTTGAATAGAAGAACAATGAGGTGAAAAGTGAAGGAGCATTGACAATTTGACATATATAAGCTATCATAAATATAATTTGTTTGGCTTAAGAAAAAAAAAAAAGTGTAATTTTGGTGCTCTAATGACAATCTGAAGTATACAAGTGGATTAAATTTTTCATATTGTGATGGTGGTTTTACTTTTGCACCCTTTGTGTAGAATGATAGTTTTAAGTTCTCATAGCGTTGATGGTATGTCTTTTGTAATTTGACAATGACACTGATAAAAAAAATAAAAAAATAAAAAAAAATAAAATCAATTACATAGTGAAAGTATTGGATTGGGGAGAGGATGGTATAGCCACAGCTTCTGAGACTGCTGCCCTTCGAGCATCTTTCAAGCAAGAAGTAGTTGTATGGCATAAGCTCGACCATCCAAACGTGACAAAGGTGAATATATCTCTCCTTAATTCATAACAAGTCTTCAACTTTAGGATGTATTATAATATAATGTATAAGTCTTAACTTTTATGATGTATTTGTGCTCTGTATTTGANGAGCTTGTTGTGTTGTGGTCGAGTACATTCCAGGCGGGACTTTGAGAAATTCTTAATCCGGAATAGCCAGAAAAAACTCGCCTTCAAGATCGTGGTTCAACTCGCTTTGGATCTTGCTCGAGGGTGAGAAAAAAATGTTATTTTCTTGTATTATTAAAATTCATTATATGTGATTTCAACAGGTCCAGAATAGGAAAAAAAAATACAAAGAAAATGAAGAGAGAAATAGAGAGAGATCACACACTTGCAACCATATTAAGGTTAAGTTTGGTCATCAACTAGTAGAAGATAAGTGAATTTCGAGCTTATAGCTGATAACTTATGACTTATGGCTAAAAAGCTAGCTTATATGATAAAAGTGTGGTAAAATTAACTGATAAGCTAAGCTAGCTGAAATAAAAATTTTAATGAGCTTATTTGAAAAGCTACCCAACAAAGCTTACCTCATAAGCTCGAGCTTTTTAAAAAAGCTCGTCCTACCAAACCAAGCTTATTTGAATACAAGAAGCTTATAAGCTAATCAAATAAGCTATAAATCAATTTATATGCTTACCAAACACAACCTAAGACAACAGAGTTACCGAACAAAACAGTTCGGTTGAATATCTGTTTAAGATAAACATTTGTTAATGGGATTTATAGTTTTGAGATATTACTGGATCTTTAATATGCGAATTTGAACCATAGTCTTTATTTTTTTCTCATGTTTCTATCTGATACTTAATAGATTGAGTTACCTCCATTCGAAAAAAATCGTACATCGTGATGTGAAGGCGGAGAATATGCTGCTGCACGACGATAAAATTCTCAAAATTGCAGATTTTGGAGTTGCGAGAATTGAAGCTCAAAATCCAAGGGACATGACTGGCAATACTGGAACTCTCGGTTATATGGCGCCTGAGGTACATTATTTTCTAGTTCACTCAATTGAAAAAAATAAAATAAAATAAAATTGGATATTTGTTGAAAGCTTGAAATTATTTTATAGGTTCTTGATGGTAAACCGTACAACAGGAAATGCGATGTGTACAGTTTCGGCATATGCTTGTGGGAAATTTACTGTTGCGATATGCCTTATCCCGACTTGAGCTTTGCCGAGGTTTCGTCTGCTGTGGTTCGACAGGTTCGGTTCGTCTAAACTCTAATGTACAAAGCATTTTCCTAATATATGCTGTTTAGTTCATTGGAATGGAAAAAAAACTAATCTTCCATTTTATTTTACAAGAATGACTAGTTTTGTCTGAACGTCTACTAATATTCATCAGACTTCTTTTAATTTATTATTATTATTATTATTATTATTATTATTATTATTATTATTATTATTATTATTATTATTTGTTTAAAAATTGAAATTATCCACCTTATATATAATTTCAGAACGCGCTGAGCCTAGGCGGCAGCTTCGCACGTTTCGTAATCTTATGTGGCGAAATATTATGCTTTGCCTTATGGCTCGGATAGAAATTACAATTTTTTTATACCAAATAGCTTAGGTTTGGATTGCAATATATACACTTATATTAATATATTTAAACTATTCTATATAAATCTAATTATTATCTTCTTTTCTACAATTTGCATATTGTTTTACTTTTCAGATTTTGTGCTTTGTCCATATAATTATTCTCTTTTATGTTTTAAAATAAAAATATTACAAATAAAACTAATAATGTAGATAAATCAGTTTTCAGAATTTAAAATAATATTGTTAATTCACTCAGTTCTTTTATTATAATTGTTATATATTGTTCCTTATTTATTTTCTCCAACTTCAACAAAATATACAAACATTTTCTTTCCAAAATATATTTTTGTTATACATTCAAATTATTTTATCAAACATCCGTGTAGTACACGGGTATTATACCAGTATGTAACTATATTATAGGATTAAATTAGGGATTATTTATAATTCTCAAAAGATTTATAAACTACCAGAATTTGCGACCTGAAATTCCGAGATGTTGCCCGAGCGCATTAGCCAACATCATGAGAAAGTGTTGGGGCCCGAAACCCGAGACCCGACCCGAAATGGACGAGGTAGTCAAGTTGTTGGAAGCAGTGAATACGAACAATGGTGGTGGGATGATACCGGGCCATCGGGATTGGGTATGCTTTTGTTTCGGGCTTGCTCGTGGTCCATGAAAAAACTATATACTTTTTTT